ACACAGTATTGCTATATATTACTGAAGTCTACTTCGTTTAAAGCCCGTTCTGTGTATAAACTTACTAAGCAATTGTTAGTGATTTGTTATTTTAACTAAACTTCCCCTCCTCCCCAGTGGTATGATCAAGTTTATATTGATTGTTAAGTTTATTTTTCGACTTTTGCTGGCACCTTGCTTTATAAAGTGACACTACCTCCATTCTACAGTATATTTTAAATTCATCCATTGCTACATAAAATCATTTATGTAAACGGTATAAAATATTAAAATATATCGTGTAGACACAAATGTTACTGGATTTCTTTAGCTTGTTTTATGATTCTGTAGACGGTGCACCATTAAGGCAATGAAGGAGCTTCAGAGTGTGAGCTTGAGGACGGTTTAGATTAAAATTTTAAGTTAAAATTTCCCAATGACTCTACAAAACAGCTCCATAACAGTGGCGTAGTAGCGCCATGCGCTGTCGTGCGGCCATCCGCAGGGCACCCTGACCCAAAGGGGCTAAATGTCTCGATACTGTACAGCATAATGTGTCCCTGATATCGACTGTAGGACATACTGTTATATCCAGTGGTGGATTTAAATTGAGATAAAAACGAAACTTATATTCAAATTTTTTTTTTTGTCTTCGAGTGCCTTTTTCTGGCCATCTAAATGTGCCATAACCCACCTCAACCCCAAATGGCGGGGCTGAGGTGGATATAGACCCTCCATCTGTGAAAGCTTTTCCCTGTCCCCTTCTGTTTCAAATTCTTTGATCCACCACAGATGGCATCATTTAAAAAAACATTTAGAATACAATGACAAAAAAACATGATTAAAACATAAGCATATCTAAGAATGGAATTGGCGACCCGGACCCTGGGGCCACCAGTATAAGAGTTCAAAGGGCCCCCGGCCCAGCGTTACGCCACTGACCTATATATATATATACTTTAGATTTTGTCGTGCTGTCACAAGCGGTTAATAACGAACTTATGCTGTGTAAAAACTGAAAACAAAAGAAAAAGCAACTCTCCTCTCAACCACTAGAATAGTTTATCTTTCGTGTTATATAAGCTATTACTAGGCCTACCTTCTTTTTTTCAAAATACTTGAAGTTTCAAAGAAGCGGGTATGTGAAAGCTTCAGGAACTATAATTGTTATACTATAGCATCATCGTGATTGTGATGTAGAGATAGTTAATGATTGGTCACTGTGTAAGGAAGGTGTTTTGCTGAGGTCACACCCTAGGCCCAACGACAAGGAACAACTTCCCGATCATTTGAACTTTGCTGTGCGACGTTAGTACACGTTCACAGTGGTTCTACTGATATTAAATTCTGAGATCCAAACCGTCACGAGGTAAGTTGTTACTTATATAATCAAGAATTGCCGGGGCAGATTCTTAGACGGTCAGTCCGCTTAAATTAATAATATGTAAAATAATATGTAATCTATAATCTTTGAATTATTGACGTCGTTTTTTATTAGGCATTTATGTTTAATTAAACTTTATTTATCGACAGCACAGTGGCTTATACACAGACGCTGGTCGTCGAGTCTTTCTCACATAGACTGAACTAAGCATTCGAGTGTGTAATGTATTTTTATTAAAGTATAAATTAGGTTTTAGTTAAGTTGTTTTGTTTGCTGATTGGAGTGGTAATCTTAATGGGTTAGCATGGGTAAATAATAGGCTGCACTGCATTGAAAGAAAAGAAGAAGAAAAAAAGAAGACGCATAATCTAATGTTCGTTTCCTTAGCCTTCCTTTATAATATTAGTAAATATATAATATTACTTCCTGGTAGGTTACCCTTACAGATTGTAGGACAATATGCTGGTTGAGCTAAGAATATTGTCTGAGTAAAAACACATGCTCGTACGCAGGCTTTTTATTGGATGGGTACAAATTTGTGGAGAGTGTACCAAAGTGACTAGGGGCCGCAGATTTCTGCTTGGGTCGAGTTGGCGGAGGCCCCTTTCATTTTTGATAATTTGAGGTCTAATTGATTGCAATATCAACAGTATTATAAAATGTTTGTGTTTGAAATGAAATGAAAAAAAAAATCAACAGTATTAAACGGTTTTTCAGTGACAGATTCAGGAAATGAGGGGGCGTAGGGAGGGATTTTCACAGATGGAGGGTTCATACCACCTCAGCCCCACCATGGTTGGGGCTGAGGTAAGAAATTTTATAATTATGGCACCCCATGGCCGGAATTGGCACTCTAAAATTCGTAAATAAATCGAGGTCGAATATTAAATAACCCTAACCCTAACCCGTTGCACCCCCACCCCACCAACCTTCTGCGTACGGGCCTAAAACTTTAGAAATGCGTTATTTCGTTATGAGTTAAATATCTTAAGCTTGTTTCACACGAGATCAATTTATAAACGCGTTATGCGCCCTCTTGAGTCATCACAAAATATTGTGTAATCGAATAGTTGTACACACCACAGGCTAAATTTACCCTCCCTGTCTAACGTCAGTGGACAGGGACTGATCTAGGACTTAGAAAGGGTTTCAAATTGTTCAGAATAGAACAGAGTGAGGGCCGATAGCATAGGAATGAGGCGACAAGGGGTCCTGTAACTGTAATTCATGAAGCCTACCGGCACTGCAAAGGTCTGTATGCCGACCTTAGATATCGGTCGTTGTTTTTGTTGAAATACGATTTGATTTTTTGATAATAATAATTATGTCAATATTTATACATCTTAGTTAAAGCAACTTGTTTGTGTATTATAGCGTTCTTTCACTTTTTGTAACTACTTTGTGCGTGCTCTAAAGAGATTCTTGCATAAGCCGGGTACCCGGTCCTTCCTTCGCTGTTATTTTGTTTTTCAGTTTGTATATTGAAAGTTACAATTATAGCACAAAGTCTTTCGCAAAAGCTGACGGTTAGGTTGTTTGTGTAGGCCTACCTTAAAAAACCTAGACACCAAGGTTATCGAAATTTGTAAAAACCAACCCGCAAAACGAACGATTGTCTCAGCTATGATCAGTGGTGGCCAGGGATGTATCCAGGAAGGGTGGGGGAACCGCGGCTCACCCGCCCCTTTGTACACAGTGTTAAAATTATAAAGCTTGTTCTTGCTAGCCAATACAGAATCTTTCCCGGGATCACTCAAAATGTGAAATCCATAAATCCCAGGCCAGGTCTTTTTAAGATACAGAAATGTGATATTGTATGGTTCAGTTTGGTTTTTATCCTTTTGCAAGCTTTTATAAAGTTTTGTTTATAATACTAATAATGATGACGACGATGATGACGATGGTAATAATAATAATAATATTAATAACATTAAAAAGTGAAGAAAATTGTGGTAAAGGCGAAAAGAAATTTGTAATTATGTTGATCATGATTATTATAATAGTTAAATCATAGTAAGCTACAGTTAGGCCTAAGTTGTACTGGATAATAAGTAGTTCCCTGATAAAAAATCATGAGAAATTTGTTGGCGCCGCATTTTGTCTATATAATGGTAATGTGAAAATGATGGATTTTTCTATATAAAAGTGTCATTTCCGTCCATTTAGAGGTACTTTCCTCAAATTTACTCACCTCAGCCCCAACCATGGTGGGGCTGAGGTAGTTGTGAAATCACGGCTTTAAGGTATGTAAAGTGCATACTCAACTCAAAGACAATGTTTTTAAGCTTTATTTTCTATGGTACATCACACATAATAATATGATCTCTATGGATTCCGAAAATCCCTGATAAAAGATCATGAGAAATTTGTTGGCACTAGGGCCTATAAAAAAGTGATGACGTGATGATGATGAATTTTAGGCCTACTAAAAGTGTCATCTTGCCTCTAGAGGTGCTATTTATTTTCTCACCTCAGCCCCAACCATGATGGGTCTGAGGTCAGTGTCAACTTGCGAAATGTCCCCACCCCCTCCACCTTTCAAAACAGATCTATGCCCTTCTCTGGGTATGACATTAAACTCCATTGAGTCTTATTGAATGCTGAGGCAAGGCTGCATACATTTGATTTTAGGATGTGATCTGGTTTTTGCCCATTTTTCGTGATTATGACAACTTTAGATAAAGAATGTTTTGAGCAGTGTGGTGGATTCAAGGCCTAATTTTTTTTAAATATATAAAGAGTAATAATAATAATTTACTGACATACACCATTTATATAAAGAGTAATAATAATAATAATTTACTGACATAGGCCAACACCATTTATATCGGTGGTACTCAACAAATATTTAATGACACTGCACATTTAGATTAACAGCTTTTGCAAAATACCGTGCGGTCTGTCAAATGACAAATTTCAAAACACAGTTCAAAGCAAAACAATAACGTAATTTACAGCTTCTGGATAATAAAGTTAATCTGTATCTGTACTAACTTTTCATAATAATTCATCTAAAAGAAAATAGTTATTGAACAATGTATTATTTTGTTTTTACTGTTTATTCAGGACCATGAATACCATACTGATTCTCGGTGTCTGTCTGTCTGTGGCATTGGCTTATCCAACAGGCCCACCTACATCTGCCTGTTCTAGTATGATACCTGGTCACGGAGATCCAACAGTAACGGGACCACCCCCGTATGAAATTACCGTCGGCTCCAGCACTTACGCTACAGGCGCACCAGTCCAAGGTAAATACATGGCCCACTACTAAGGCTTGCTACTAACTGCAAATCGATTGTCGTAACACACACTCACGCGTGTAGTAGACGATCTTCCCGTGATAGCTTTAGTGGAAGCCCACGTTCCTATCAAGGCTGGCGCCAGGATTTTCCCGACGGCAGGTCTGAGGTCCCAGACCGGCAGGCGTGGGGGGGGGGGGGGGCTGCATTGTTCCCGACGAGATGAAAGTGGACGTGTTCGGGCGTCGCCCAAAAATCTTTCGAAATTACAGGGGACAATTCTCCCGAAAAATATGGCTATTTTAGGGGTTTCAAATGCTCATTTAATCGATTACTGTAGTTTACTAATATGTAAAAACTACATTTTTTATTCTCTCCAACGAATTGTGGTTTTTCTCCCACAGCGCCTCTGTGACTACGGAGATTTTGTTGGTAACTCCATGATGGGTAGTGGCTTAAGCGTATCCTCCATAGGTAGGAGGGAGAGAAGTGCCACCAAGGACCATATAGTCCAGGGAGGAGGGTTTATAGTTTGTAATTATGGTGTTTCTTTTTATTTAAAATTAATTAGTGGATTCTCTGGCTTTTATGTACGGTATATATCCACATGTATACCGTAAAACCTCTAATTGAAGCCCTGGGCTTCTTTTTTTTTGCGAACTTCGGGTGGGCTTCTTTTCGAGACTACTTTTGTAAAGTAAGGAGGTGGGCTTCTTTTCCAAATGAATGCTGTAAATTTTGTGAATTTGTACTATAAAACAATAAATAAGGCCACTGTATATAACATCAACCTGTCATAGAGTGTATTTACTTGGCATTAAATCTTCTGAACTACTGTATAAACCAAGCTTATATTTAATTTATTTTGTTTTCTGAAATTCATATACAGAGTAACCATACAATCTCAAAAAGAAGCCTATGCTATCTTGAAAAGAAGCGTCTTTTCGAGATGGGCTTCTTTTCGAGGCTAATTTTGCAAACTAAAGAGGGGGGTTCTTCAATTCAAGATGGGCTTCATCTCGACATTAAGCCCACTGGTATACTGCTACTTACTGCTACTTAGAGTTTCTATCACTGCTACTGAGTGACGAGTGCCCCCTTTGTTTTTATATACAGTATAGTGTAGCCCTATGTATGTGGCGAGCGCCTCCTTTGTCATTACTGCTACTGGATACGCACGCACAGGAGGCTCACGCTGGATACTTCAAATTGATGCTAACAAGTCCACTTTGTTTTATAGTAACCATTTCAGGCGACAGTGAGACGCAATTCAGAGGTTTCTTTGTTCAGGCTAGAGTGAATGATGCCCAGTTCACCACTAACCCGGCTTTAGGAGTGTTTTCAGACTTTCCTGCAAGCACAGGCGGTGTGGATTGTTCTAACTCTGACGTAAGAATCCATTTTTTTTATCGCTATTGTTAACCATGGTCATTGTCATCATAGTCAACACCATATGAATTACCTACTTTTGGAATTACCGATCATCACCATCTTAGCTTCATTTTTCATCATCATCATCAACATCTCATCATGATTATCATTAGGATCACGATAATAATAATCGTCGTCTTCATCAGTATTAATATCAGTACTAATGCAACAATGCACCAACGCGCCATCATCTTGTTTATCGTTATCATCGTCGTCATTATAATCATAATAATCATCGTCATATTCATAATTATTATTATTATATTATTATTTATTATTATTGTACAGAGTGGCTGGGGCCACACGGATAATACTGACAAGAATAGCGTCATGGCAAACTGGACCTACACTGGCGAATGTGAAGATGTAGGAAATCTAGCGTTCAGGTAATGAGGCCTACGTCATCAATATTTTTTAAACAATAATCATTAATACATTATTACAAAATATCAAAATGAGGCTTACTGCAAGCAATGGCATATCTGGAGCAGGCCCGTAGCCAGGTCATTTCAAAAGGGGGGGGGTTCTCTGGGCGTGGGGTCCAGGGGCCTGCCTAAGGGCCACGCGGTGGGTTCGGGGGCGAAGCCCCCGAAGCCAGAGTGTTTTGTGTTTAATGGGTCTATATAATGTTTTAAAAGCAGTTATGTTTTGAAAAAGATCTATGTAATAAAAAGGTGGTAATATAATAAAATTAGAACATATTTTCTGAGAATTGGCATGTTTAAATAACACCGAAAGATATAAAAAATAAACCCTCACCGCATAATCAATATCAATATACTCAACACATTTATTATTATAAAACAAAAACAAAAAAAACCCGATTCTTCTTCTTCCTCCTCTTCCTCTCTTTCTTCTTCTACTACTTCTTCTTAACTCTCATTTTTACACTGGAAATAATAGTACTATTTTACTACGTGGCTAAAAAAGCACAATATTGTCATTACTACTGACAGGGCCATCGTTAAATTAAATCAGAGCCCAAAATATAGCATCATATTCAATACGTTATCTGACATCATGAGAACCTAAACTTTAATACAATTATTTGGCCCAATTCGAAATTATTATTTTAAGACTTTAACATAATAGGCTACATACTGATTAATAATAGCTGAGATTTGATGCACATTTTAGAATTAATAATCAAGTTTTATAAATAATCAAACTATCACATAGTTTAGTGTGCGCTATGGACAGTATGGCTAAGGAATTTACTAACCACACAATCCACAATCAGGTGATTAAGTCGCGAAACTTTATCTGCATTTGGTGGATTAAGTCGCAAAACTTTAGCTTCGTTTGGTGGCACCATTTACTCTAGTTAGACAGCGACCGGTTTCGTTAACGGTTGGTACATTTCTTACAAATATTCAGCCAAAGCCCAATGAAAGTTGAGACGGCAGCCGTGTTTTTATCAATGTTTGCCATTCTTATGAGTGCCATCGTAAAGTCATGGTTTGCTGGAGTTGCGTTCAATTTAAATCTCCGAACTTCTGAAACTAAGATATTCTATGAATGTAGGCTTGTATCGCAGGCTACAATTTAAAAACGGGTGACCAATTAATAAATTAGGTGCTAAATTTTGATTTATTGCTATGTAAGTCAAAAACATACATTCCGTCCGATTGGGACTCATTCAAAAATTCGAGGGGGTTCGCTAGAAAACAGGGGGGTTCGCTAGAAAAAGAGGGTTCGCCCGAACCATAAAAACCCCCCTGGCTACGGGCCTGTGGAGTAAGCATTATTGTTTTATTTAAGTTAATCAATGAATCATCAGACATTTACATTTTAAAATAATATGCAACGTTATGGTTTGAACAACAACATTACTGATACACGTCATGCGGTGTGTTCACAATAAAACTTTGAATCGTAAACCTTAAAACGACACACAACAAAAGGCAAAGCTGAAAAGATATTTCAATGAAATATACAGTGATATTTAAAATCAATTAGTCTTAATTCAAAACCTAAGCATTTAAAACCATTCAAAGTTATTTAAAATACCAGTAAAAATTGCAAGGGGTTGCAATTTGGATTAAAATTCGAATTTAAAATTTTACTGGTATTTTAAAGAAACTGTATAATAAAATTGGTAAGATTGTTAAAATAGTTATATTTACATTACATAATGTACACAATGAATTTTATAGGACTTTATTCGTTGAAAAGCTACAGGGTAGCCTACAAT